AGCCCTGCCACCCCTTCGGCCTCCACGGGACGCCGTCTCCGTGGCGTGCTACGTACCTGACACTCGTGGGGTTTCTCTCCTGTGTGTACCAGGTAGTGCTTCTGGAGGTGAGCCAGCTGTGTGAAGCCTTTGTTGCAAGTCTGGCATTTAAATGGTCTCTCTCCGCTGTGTACTCGCAGATGCACCTGGGGAGAAACAAAAAGCAATTAACAATTTGCAGTTTCCAGTGCTGTAACAAAAGTACTTTCAGATGTTTCCTAAAGTCATCAGAAGATGCCTGTTGCCAAAATACAATATTATCTCGTTAACGAGGTGGTGTCAGTATTGAAACACTGTCTTCACAACCACGCTTTCTTGCTGGGGGGCAGGGGAAGGCCTCATATTAAACCCAGACTGATAAAGAGGCTAATGAGCAAGGGAGGCCCGTCCCTGCTTCCCCTAGATAAACCCCAGGGAGAAACCAGAGCCCTCCATGAAGGCTCACGCCTTATCCTCCACTGCCTACCTTAAGATTGGAGAGCTGGCCAAAGGTCTTGGAGCAAACGTTGCATTCGTACTTAATCTTCCCATTCTGCTTCTTCAGTGGGTAAGGGAGGGTTTTGTAACCGGTCACATTCCTCTTGCTTTTAATGAGATTCATGGCTTCTTCACCGCCGGTGGCAGCCAACACCACTGAGGTAGGTTTAGGTTGCATTATGTGTTCTGAGCTGGCTGCGGTGCCAGCTGTGGGTGACCCGCTGGTTGGGCTGCATGGCTTGTCCTTCATGCTGGCAGCGGCGCCCGTGATAGAGAAGGCACTGTTAGGTGCTGGTATGAGGAAGTCTCTTGGATGATCAGGCTGCAGCAAACGACGGCCTCCTTCACTGGGCAACGAACTGGGGAGCGTGGTGGGGTTCAACATGTGGTGGGAAAGGCTACCTCCGCTGAGCAGGTTGCCATAGAGAGGATACATCCTTGGGAAGAGATTGAAATTGTTGATGCCATTGATATTGTTCAAAGCGCTCAGGTTATTACAGCTCATATTGAACGGAGGTAACAGGAATTTGGGGTAGTGGGGGTTATAGGACGGCAGAAAGGCAGGTGGGAGGTGGCCAGGGGGTGCGTATCCAGGATAAGACCCCAATCCTTCTGAGCCGTATGATCCGTTCAAGTAAGGATACGGCTCTCTGTGCTCTTGGGAAGTAGGTGCCAGAGGTGAAACCGTGACCCCCGGACTGCTGTGAGGGCTTGAACTTTTTAAACTTTGGTCTGGGCTGCTCCTCCCTGAAGGGCTCGGTGTAGTAGATGTCTGGATGGGTGAGTGAGTAATGTAGCTGGGTCTGTCCATCCCGTATGCCAAGGAAGCTTTCAGATACTCTTCTGGAATGTGAGGTCGGATGGGGTAGACAACTCGAGGGAAGAAACACCTCTCCGGGCTATAGTTCTTACGCAAATCATCCAGCTCTTTTTCTGGAGTAACTGGTGAAATGTTGGTCTGAAAGAAGTCTTTTGCTTTTGGAGGATTGGATTCCATTTTCAGGATTTCTTTCACACTGTGCTCCTTCTTTGGGGTGCTTTTCTGATAGAGCTCGTCTTTATCAGCACTGTGCTGCTTTGGATTAACGTGGGTTTGTGCTGAAACACAAAGACAAGGTAATGATTACTTAGATACGCCACAATCTAACTCCTCCAAGTTTAGTGGGAAGGAAGGAGGGGCCACTCTCAGAGATAAGCAATCGTTAAACTAAAAAAAAAAACTTCTTCGTGAAGAAATGCCTGCTGGTACGGTTAACGAAAAGCACTGTTAATTTGAGGGATACCAGCTAGTACATACAGATCTGGATGATGATTCATTTGCAGAGCGCTAGTCACCACTTTGCAAACTGATTTTACCTCTCTTCCCCCTTATATTTGACTAGCTTCACCACTGAATGTCTGTTTAAGCAGATTTCTAACAAATGCACCACCAGGCATTTGTTCAGGATACAGGTTTAACAGAAGGACTTTGCAGAAGCTCCCAGAAACGTTCCTCGCTGAAGTAACGAGCCATGACAAATCAGCTTTTGCCAAACCACAGCAGTCGCTTCACCAGCCAGTTCAATTACTTACAGTACCAAAAAAACCCCATGGCTGGCTAGGATGAAAGCCTTCTTCAAAGAGAAGGTATCCTCCATCAGTAAACAGATCATTACTCATTAAATATACTGCTTAGGAACATCTACAACAAAGCAGACTATTTACTGCAGATTTCTGTGGCATTCGGTCTATGCAAAACTCCTCTGCTTACAGCTGTACTTTATAAAAAAAAATGCTGAAGCAAAGCAAAAGAAAGCAAGACTGGTTGGCTCCAGCTTAAGTTGAAATGTACTTTAAGAAAAAAGGAAAAAAGAAATATGTATTTAGAAGTATATGGAAGCTAGCATCCATTTGGCTCAGTTCGGTGCATACGCCATTTATTTGTATTCAAAGACTCTACCTTGTTATCTGGACATAATGTAATATAAACAGTACATGGAAAGATATCTTCAATAGATAGAAAAAGAAGTCTGCTTTTATCTAATCTCTCACTGTTAATAGTTATATAATCTTGAAATGATGACTTGTAAGATATTTTATTACAGGGGAAAAACTGCAAGAGGTTTCCTATTCATGGTTAGTTATGTACAAGGTTTTCCATCAGGAGGTACAAGTCAATGCCAACAGGCATGTGACTGAAAAGCATCACAGCCCTTTAGCCAAGTTTCTGCTTCTGTGACTGACTGTTCTTCACTAACTGACGTGAGAAACAGTTATTTCTGATTTTTGGAGGACCAGCTGAACCCAGTGAGGGAGACTGGAACGCGCAATGACCACACCGCTTTCAACATGGATTCTTTGCTTCACTATTCACTACCCTGATGGAATCTATCATTTGGCAGCATTACCCTATAAGGCAAACAGGCAGCCATTTATTAAACGTGTCCAAGAAAACAGCTGCCTTCAAAGCTCGCTTCTACTCACACCAACCCACTCTTACATTAGCATCCTCTTTCCAACAGCAAAGCAGCAAGCAAATTCAGTTTAAGATATGTGGGCAGTTTGTGTATTTTCAAGTTGCAAGGAAGTGCAGCTGAATAGAGTTACGTTCAATTAAAATACTTATGATAAAACACATACACACGTTAAGTGTGCAGATAGCTTCACTATTATGTATCTCCATGTTAAAGTTTAATGCAGAGCTGTTTCAAAAATAAATGAATAGCATGTTGCACTGTCTCGCATTAAAACACACCTACTTTCCTTGGTCATTTTGTCTCTACTTATGGACTGCTAACTCGTTTTCGAAATGTCCACCCAGAGTTTTAGCTATAACATAGAGGCCCTACTAGGTTCAAGAAGCTCCACAATGGCACTGTGGATAATATTATCTACATCTTCTTATCAGCTGCCTGTCACCACGCCAGCATCTCAGAGCAAACATTCCTGGTGACACTATCAGCACTGGGAAGTATCGAGACCGGGAAGTACTGAAAGTGGGGCGGGGGGGGGAAGCAGGACTTGTGAAGCCTTGCAGCAGAGAAAAAAAATAAATACCACCTTATCAAGCCCATATCAGTTTCTCAGTGGGGTTTGTTGAGCAGGAAGTTCAAATTGACACTTTTCTCTTTTGAAGAAAAAAAAATCGTGGGGGAAGGCAAGAGGAAGGAGTGCTGGCGCTGCTGGAGAAGTGAGAGGGGCGCCGGGGCCACGTCAGCTGGAGGCAGAACTCCCGCTGCCCCACGGGCGCAGGACGTACGTGCCTCACGCCGCAGCGAGCCCGCGAGGGACAGAAAGGAAGCTCACACCAAGAACCTAACTTTCTGCGTGCAACAGCCCCACATCCCCGGACAGGCTGACGATAAGTGCTCTTTCCTTCCCTTCAAAGTCTTCCTGGTAAAGCCTTTCCTCCTACTAATTTCCATGTACAGACAGAAGTTGCACTACTTAAAGATTATTTTTCAAGACTTAACTGATAGCTTTCTTTAGTTTGCAAGCTATCTTTGGTCAGGAAATTGCCTCTTGGCTTTTTCCCTCATTACCTGAGTGCAAGGGACACTTGGGAACACCAAAAAGATCAAAACAGAAACGAGCATGTCAGCACTGTGTAAAATAAGAGAAGGTAATGTTGGGGGCCAAGGAGAGGTTCTTAAGTTTTATACAGAACATGGATTTAAACGAGGGCTGAAACTAGCTGAGATGTTTACAACCTTTCTTGTTGCTCTTAACAGACCCATACTTCAAAGTTAAGGAGATACATTTCTTAAAAACGGATTTTTTATTTTAAACTTGTGATTTTTTAAGTTCTTACTGATCACGTTTCCCTCCCACTCCCTTATACATACACATACACTAAACACGGGCACATACTCTTCCAAGATGTGTCTAGTTTCTGTGGTCAAAAAGATACACAGAGAAGAGGTTCATGATAAAACAAGACCAGCGCAGCTGCGTTTGGAAGTTACTGATCTGAGGGGAGAGAGGGAAAAAAGAAAGAAAAAAAAACCCAGACAGGCCTCTTCAGGAGCCTGATCCACTTCTAACCGACATCAACAAATTATTCACTCAGGTCTGAGATTAGTGAGTGCGTGCAAGAGGTAAAGGGACAAAACTCCTGTTACTTTTAAGTATTAATAACACCGGAACGGAGGGGCTCCCTGAAGTCACTCCAGTGTGGGTGTTCCAGCCAGACTGCTGCAGAGCTGCAGGCTTTGCTCTCATTTCTTATGCTCCAAGCTGTAGCCTGAGAAAGGCTGCGTAAAAACGATGAGCTGGGTTTTTTTCTAAAAATTTGAAAAACAGTTGTAGGCAGACAGTAATTTCAACAGTAACTTCAGGAGCGAGATGTTACTGAACACTTCAAGTGGCAGAACTTAATTATGCCGATTCACATTTTTGATCTAAATTAAGCACCTCTTTTGCTAGTAGGAAGAGAACCTCGAAGTTGTGAAGCAGGCAAAACTAAGAGTGTTTCCACTCAAAATGAGAATGGAGACCAACATCTAGAAGTATATAAATTGATCATCTGTTTTCTAAATGTGTCCAAGGCAGGGTGACATGCCTTTGAAAACATTTTACTCAGAGAGGGTCTTTAAGGGAGCCTTCAAATAATCCTCAATATTAAGTCAACTTTAGCCCCCAAATTCAGGTTTTCTGAAGACAACCTTTCATATAATTTCAAAATCATTTTCCTTGAGCCCCTTTCAAGATTCCAGGAGGCATTTTTAAGCAAGTGCAGATGTTTCCTCTTAACCCAAACAGAAAAGCTTCAAAACCAGAAAGTGAAACTGCCCATAAACAAAAGGGAAAGCGAGTGGCAGGGCTCAGCTAACGGCCAGTGTGTCAGGGCCAGCAGGAAGAGGAAAAGAATAAATCATATCTAACAAACAAGCATTAAAAAGTTAATCACCACAGAATCTGAAAGACTTTAAACAATACCTGTTAATGAAAAAAAAAAAAAAAAAAGATTGCCAAATGTTTTGTAAACATGCAAACTGTCTTCTCTCAACTCAGGCATTTTTTCTCAAGCTTGACCAAAAGATGTCACCTGCCTGTGCTTGACTGAGGAGCCAAACATGACACGAGCAGCAGGAAGTTGCATCATAGGATTGCAATACGTGAACATTATTATCAAATAGTCATGTCCTGAGTCAATGCAATTGTTTGGTGTTTTTTGGTTTGGTTTGGGTTTTTCTAAACTCTTAACCTATCTACCCTCCACCCAACAATAATCTCCTACAATGAGGTAGGAATGAAATGCTGAACTATGTGGAACCTCTGAAGCAAATTTCCTTGGTATGTTTGCCAGCTGAAAAATAACGTATCACAGACTAAGAGACAATCTGAGGGCCCAGCTGAATGAGGTTAAGCACATCTAACAAATCACTGAAAATTGATTTTTTGGCCAGCAGAATATAGACATGTTGTGCTGTCACGCTTAAAACCATTTACTGGACAATGGCACTATCTGAAAGTAACACGCCTCAAATCCTGGTAGGAAACATCAGTGGCCTCAAAACATGCAGGAAGGAGAAGGGGATTGTTTGAAAGGAGACTGACTTTCCACCACTGGGATAACGTGGAGTCTTGCCTCTACCACCGTTGTGCAACTCCTTGCAGGCACTTCAACATCTACTGGAATGGAGCTCCACTTGGAGGCAATCATGGCCGTGAAGATAGGTGTGTGCTTCAGCGTCTGAAGGACTGGGTCAAAGGCCCCAATTGAAGAAAACACAGAGGACAGGGTTAAACCCATAACTAAGTACATGCCTAATTGCTGGCTTGAATCTGGATGCTTTCCTTCTACGGCACAAATGAACTAATGCTGGAGAAGTTACCTTTAATTTGAAAGTTTGCTGTTATAGAGGCAAGTAGATGTTATACATGGATATTTAAGTTTATTTATGCTCTAAAGTGGTAGTTCTCTCATTTTTGAGGCCACTAATTACAGGAAATAAAGCCAGAGAAATTCTGGCATCCCGCTCGGGTACTTGAAGAGGAACTGAGGTGCTGAACTGCAAGACCGTGATCCCCAAACCCCTGAGGCACCTAAAGCAGCTGCCTATATTTTTAGTTGGCAGGCCTGGAAGCTCTCCACAGGTGTGTGTCCCGGGTGGCCTCTCTTGTGCCGGGCTGGGCAACCAGCCAAGGCACAGCTCTTCCTTCCAAAGCCTCCTGCGGGCACTGGCACGCTCTGCACACCCAAGATGCGTCAGAGGGAGGGAGCTGAGTGCAACACGCCACGGCCACGGGCTGCCAGCACTGCTGCCCCAGCAGGACAGAGCTGACTTCAGCCTGTGGTAGGACCTGTACCCCACCTGTCTCTCCGTTTTCCTCAGAGGCTGCCAAAACCACCAGCCAGGAGCCAGGAGAGGTGGCAATGCTTGCCTGTTCCTCTGAAAGGAACCTCTGAAAGCTGTGCCACTTTAAACTCCAAATTACTAGCGGTCATTTTGGCTGGAGAGGGCTCTCCTGACTTTCTAGCAGGTGGAGGAGGTGATCTGTGAGGGGTGCCCCCAAGCAGGACTGCATTAAGAGGTTTTGATGGGGCAAAGCCCCATGTCTGCAGCAAGTGCAGGATACCAGTGATTTGAGGACAGGCCTTCTGCACTTTGTTCACAGGTGAACACAGTGTGAGGGCACCCTGGCCATGCCTGCCATAGAGAGAGAGGCTGGAGAGGCAGCAGGACACTCGCTGCCTTCAGATTTGACTAGAAGTGGCCTGGGAGGAAAGGGCAGAAGAAATCTGAATGGTGCTGACACTTGCTTTAAACTCACCCGGATCCCGTACTAACACTGAAAGAAACCACCCCTGCTTGCACTGTTGCTATAGGGCCCTCAGCAAATACGCATCTTGGTGAGACCTCTGGACTTTTTTCCATACTCTTCAAGAAAGGGCACCGAAACTTTAGAAAACCTCACTCTTCATGGTACCTGTAAGGCTTCCAGCCCCATTGCAGGCTTTAGGCCTGAAAGTGTTTGTCACAAAGATGAGAGGAAAAGATTAAAAAAGGTGAGAACTTCTCATTTTTCTGAACTGCTAGTTTCTTTAGGTGAATAGGGCTAACAAAGTTTCTAAATGGTTTAAACACAATTGTCTTTTAAAAGATGAAGGGATATTTTGACCTCAGAGTCTGGAAAGGCTGCTCTTTCAAATGTTAAGCCTGAACCACAAAATTTGTTCAAGATCCGGTCTTGTAAAATCCACATATTGAGCCTACTTTTACTAAAACACATTATTCTGCATGTCTAGACACCCCTAGTCGTGACCTGAGTAAGAGCAACCAGGTAATTAGCTGACACTTTACAAATACATTCCTTGCTACTTCTGCAAGTCAACCTAAGACGCCAGCTGATGCAGGAAACTAAGGCTGAGTTTGTGTATCCTCCCAGCTAATGGCCAAGTGTGTCTGACTGGGTCCTTGCAACCTCCTCACCCACATGAACCCTCAATGCCCTTATCTCATCCCACCTGGAGGTCCCACTGAAAAGCCAACAGTTCATCATATCAAGAAATAAAACTGCACAGCAAGTGGTGAAATGACGTATGTGCACAGACAACAGAATCAGTGAGATACTTTTTGAGTGCAGAATACAGCAGAATAGCACATCCCCTCCCTCTCCTTCTTCTACCATTAAGGGAAAGCAAATTATCTTCTATAATTTGTAGGGAA